ATATATTTAGGCAAACATGGGAAAAAAATCAAACAAAGAAAAATTCCAATGCGAATAAAAAAAAAACACCAGCTTCGATTTTTTTAAATTTGGGTACCCTGTTATACTCTATTTCGGCATTCATTTCTATTAAAAACATGTTGCATCATTGCACTGTGAAAGACGAAACAACTCCCCAAAGAAGGGTCCTTTTTCAAAGCCTACACTTAGCAGTGTCCTATACAAGAAGAGACTCTGAGTTCCAGTTTCATGAAACTTGCAGAAATCTTTTATATACATTTATTCACATGAGGTCATTGATAAAAAGAGCGATCGGTCACACAGTAAAAGGGAGGAGAAACTATATACAGCATTTTACATAAGCGTACAAAGTGGTATCATATTAGAGACTAATGACTTGAGAAAAGATGATGCAGTGTGAAGTTGTACCTTCCGGTATATTTTACATCTAGAGTAAAATAAATAACTTTACTTCCACACACAAAAACAAAGATATAATAGTAAGATATTTAGGTTGGCTGTGTATTTACGATTACAAACAATTTCAGGTGACGGATGCCATAGTGCCTAACTGGAGCAGCTTCGATGCTCTCGGTGTATGAATGAATCGTGGCAAGCCGATATATTTTATCCTGCTGGAGGATAACATTTTGGGATTTTTTTTATAGTGATCAGATAAAAGTTATTAGTAACCACCAACAAAAACAGTAGGTGAAATACCCCGTGAAGAAAAATGTGATAAATAAGATGTCCCTGCATTCAAAATGAGCAGTCCTTGGGAAATCAAATTCGGCACTTTACGCTAAGGTTTTCCTCGCTGTACCCATTTAATAAAGTTGCTTCCAAGCAGATCCGACTGTCCGTGCTACATATACGTCACAGGTCCCTTCTGTTGATGACTTGCTGAGCCGCCACGCGTGCCAAGATTGAATGCCAGGGAAGGCGCGCACCGTCAGCCACTCTTCTTTTTTTTGTTCACGATACCGAACAACCTCATTTTCGTCCAGATATACAAGATGCACGCCTTTCAGTTTCTTTGATAGAACGCTCACCATTGTCCTGGCCGTCTGAATTGCGCTTACTGAACGTTCTCTCAGGTTGTTCAGCGTGGCCTGGTGCTTCACGAGTCCGCCAACTCCGTCACATGCATTTTTCCCATGTCCAGATGCAGAAAATAACCACTGGGCTTGTGGGCAATCGTCCTTTGCAAATTGGTGAAGCTGGTAGCGATTCTTGAAATGACTGGCGGCGCCGTCACTTACGTACGTCACGTACGAGTATACCGCAACGTTGTCTTCAACCCACTCCTTCACTTTTTCTAGAGCCAAGCAAGCGTGAGCGGCGTCGTGACACAGGTCCTCACTGATGATGGCAAAGCTGTTTGTAGATTTTCTTGTCGTCACTACACATGTAAATATCTAAACTTGTTTTTTTTTCCAGTGATATGCTTGCACTTCGTCAGGAAGCACGATGGTCCAGTTTTCAGCAAAGTCAAAATGAAAGACAATGCTCCCGCGTTGCATGCACTGTTTTTCATCGTAGATCGCTTTATCTTGCGTTTGCCGGATATGGTTGTGAAGTACCCAACTTCCAACCGTCACTTGGATGACTTTTAGGAAAGTCTCAGGTTCCAAAGTTTTTTTTCACAAGGTCGCCGGACTCCCATGTTGCAAGCACAATCTCTTCATCCTCCGGGATATCAAGTTCCTGGAGTGTAAGAAACTGGCCTTTTGGGCAGTGATCACAGTCTCCTTGAAGGCACAGTTCTGTTGCTGGGTCGCACAGAAATGCCGAGTTCATTTCACCAGTGTTGAATGTTGAGCCTGTAACGTTCTCCAGAGCGGCAATACAAAGATAATAATTGGCGCAGCGCACACAAACGCACACTTCCTGGTGTGGAATACATTGGACCCATCTAGGGCGCAACGAATAAAATTTCGTTAGCCCAACGCCGGAATCGGGATGCTTGTCTTTGTATATACGGAAGGCCTCTCGTATTGAGCGTGTCATGAAGCGCTTTGGCACGAACGTTTTCTCTCCGTTGAGCATGACAGAGATGACGTCCTTCTGGTTGGGACTTTGGCGCGAACATTGTAGCTCGTCTTTCGTGAAGTACTCTAGGGCAGCAGACAGGTTCTCAGGGCTCACCTTGCACCTCGTGTAAGGATCCGGCTCATACCACACGCCATGCTTTTCCTTGAGTTTTCGGGATTTACTGATGAGGTACATTGAGGCCTGTGATATCATCTTTTGAACCTCATTCTTCGTCAGTGTTGACGGCAGGAGTGTAAGCAGTTGACAACGTTCCCGGAGTGAGGTGGCGGTTTCAAAGGCCTGCCAAAAGTTGTCCATCCACTCAGTGCATGTGGAGCATGTTGGTTCGGACGACCCCGATGGTGCGTCCCTGTCGTACGCAATACGTAGCCTTGAGCGTATATTCTTGACAGCAACCTGCTCCAGTTCTGTCTGCTTTCTCTTGACATAGGCAGGCCTGTCCCGACTTCTTACGACGCTTGGTTGTCTCAGCGGCGACACATCTGTAGGTAGTATGCTGCGATTTAGATCTTCAATTGCTTCTTCAGCTGGCACAAATATGTCAAGGCACTGGTCTGAGCTTCGCATCGAGATCTCCTTAGTGATGTGCAAGAAGCAATGGTAGCACAGGTAGTTCGTCGCACTCACTTTGGTGGAACAGTCAGGCGGAAGAATTTGCATCAACGAGTTTAGGTCCAACTCGCCAACACTTCGAAAATTCCGCTGCTTTGGTATAGTCTTTTTGTGTTTCCAAAAGTAATCTGCACAAAACACTCGTTCGGAGCTCCAGGACGTCTTCATAATGTATACATAAATAATAGAAATTAAACCCCAACTGATGGCATATAATTGCCAAGTGAAAGAACTACTGGGTGCACAAGTGACAAGTCCGAGGCTGAGGAGCTCACTAACTGCAAACGTACATTTGAAAAGAGAGGTCACAACTGAGGCTGTCGGCAAAGCTTGATCCACGTCAAAGGAAGAAGGAGGGAAAGTCTCCAGAAAAAAAATTGTGGTCAGCGGCCTTCGAAAAAGACTTTCCGGAATCGCACTGTCGTCCCTCCACGCGCTGATATGAAAGCACCCGAGCTTCTACCACGTGGTTCATGACACAGCCTGAGCCATGTCGGCGACCGGTTCGCGAGGGGTTGGCGGTGGGGTTACGTTGATGGTCACTCGGATTAGCCCTTGCTGTACTGAGCTACCGCCTGCAGTGCCTTATCGCCGGCTGGTGTCAACAACGAGAACACACACACCCTGTCTACACCAAAACTACAAGCGTTCACCGCACACGCGTCGCCGCCGCTTTTAAGCTTTTGTGAAATTGCTTTCTTTTGCCGCGGAGAACCGCCTTATCTTAACTACGCGCCTGAAATCCTTCCAGGCGGGCGTACACAATATGAAGCGTTTCGAGAAATGCCCGTGGAGTAGAACTATGGGAAAATTCGGGGCCCGCGATGTCGATATCGTCGCCGTTGTGTTAGTACGCCGTCGCGTACTGCAGTCCCCCGTTGGGGGAGGGGGGGGGGGGGGGGCGGTCTTACTACGATAACATGGCGACAGCGTTTACACTCTATGTATTTACGCGAGGCTCGAGTATTTGGGGATAATGCTGCCGGTTGGTGTGCCCCTTTGTGCCTGATATTATCGCCCGTGACGCCAGCGAGTGAGATGGCGACAGGCATGACTGCTCAGTAAACAGGCGTCGGCGGCCATGTTTTGCTGGTTGAAGCGAACCACCTTGTCCTTGACAGCGAGCGGGGAAATGCGAAAAAAAGATTGTATCGGCCGTTTTGCCAGAACTAGCGGCGAGTGTCGTCTGCGGTTTCCGGCAACTATTTTGCCATAATCGTGAGCTTAGCGAGGAAATGATTTTTGCTAGCCACAGAACACTACCACGCAGAAAGGGAATGCTTGAACATGTTTTTGTTCTGGATATATATCAGGGATATATATGAGAGAGAGAGAGAGAGAGAGATGAAGGTAGAGCGGAAGAGGGAATAGCATATAGTGTCGCAGGAGAATAAAGTAAACAAAGTTCCTTGTGGCCGATGGCTGCATGATCTTTTCTCGGATCACTAGTCCGTAATATGATACCTCTTTGTACACAGTAGTTTCTCCTTAATTTAAGTGTGTGAACGATTTCTTTAGTTATCATTGTCCTCATCTGAATAAAAATATATAAAAGATGTGTGTTGGTTTCATGAAACTGGAACTCAGAGTCAGTTCTTGTATAAAACACTGCTAAGTGTAGGCTTTGAAAAAGGACCCTACTTTGGGGAGTTGTATCTTGATTCTCAATAAAATGATGCAACATGTTTTTAATGGAAATGAATGCCGAAATAGAGTATAACAGGTTACCTAAATTTAAAAAAAATCGAGGGTGGTGTTTTTTTTTATTCGCATCGGAATTTTTCTTTGTTTGATTTTTTTTCCATGTTTGACTAAATATATCCTAACTATTGTATCACACAGGTACCTTAGTTATTTTTTAAATATTAGCTACATATTAGTAGAATAATATCTGCAAATTATATCATAATGATTCAATTATTTCATGAGATACAGACCTCCAAATTTTGCCATTTGTCGTTCGAGCAGGCATGTTTGTCAATTTTTAGAAAAATAAATAAATTTTAAATAAATATGATTACTTTATATTACAAGCAAGCTATACCCATAGTTTGCGCCTAAAACGTATTAGAGTTCTCCTAATGTTTTCGCTTTAGTTATTCACTCTCAAACGGGCCCCCTCCATCAGTGCGCGTTAATGCAACTGTCCACCACCTCATGCCTTACGATTTTTTCTGTCCCCAAGTATTTTTTCTAGTCAAAACTAAGTTTGGATTCGTTCATACCAGACACTAGACAATAACATATAAAAACATCAGTTGATTTGAAAATGTCGACTAGCCATCCTTTGGTCGATCTTATCTGAAATCACCCTGAGGCTTTTAAACACTTACCGAGGAATATTGGATGAAAGCGTCTTGGTCGAACTGCACTCTTGCCGACAGGGAGTTCATGGTGGCGTAGGCCTCAGCCGTTACGGAATTCATGAGGTCATCGAAAGTCATACTGCCGCTGCGGGAGATGAATACTTCAATTAATGCTGAGATGAACTGCCTCTGCGAGACAAAGAGTCCTTGTTATTGTCACTTCTGAGCACCAGGGTGTTCAGTTTCGTTCAGGCTGGGAGAGGAAGATTTTTCTGAAACACTTCAAGAAAAACAGTATCGACCGGTGCCACGAAGACAAATGCCCGTGTAGATTACCCTAAGAGAATTTTTTACTGCCTAGCCTGAGGAACCATTCAGAAAAACTACTTTTATTTGTTCTACATACGAAGAATCTTTGAAAACTGGTGAGCCTTCTTGCAAATGAATCGTCCCAGACATATTGCACTTTAAGACTCCTCTACGTAGTCCCCTTGAGTGTGACACATTTCTACCAGTGCCGCCAACCCGTTGAGGAGAGGCTATTTACATTGGTCATCGAACCATTCCCGCAACACTTCCATGACGGCGTCGTGAATGTGAACGTTCTGCCTTTCCAATGTCGTTTGAGTGCAGAAAAGAGGGTTAGTCAGGCGGTGCCAAATACCTTGCGTAGGGTGAATAGCGTAAAAGCTAGTGATCTCATTTCCGTCAGAAACACTGGTGCGCTTCCGCTATCTATCGGGTCATCTTGGAACACTTTGAGCATCTGCATGAGAAGCCTGGACGCTCTCACAACATTTGCGCGAAAAATAACTAGGCATTGCCTATGAGAACGAGCAGCCTACAGCACTGTGAAAATTATTCAAAGCCCATGGAGAACGAATGGTGCCCTAACATTATAAAAAATATATACGCAGGTGGTAAGTGTTGCCTTACTACCCTTTTCTTATCATAAGCCGTTTCAAGAGAACACAATGTACTACAGGACGCTCAAACGCACATGCGCGAAATAACCGCTCAAAGTCACATTCGTGAACCTGCTGCAGGGAGGCATCGGCAGTTATTTAGTGCTGTTAGGTTGTTACTTTAGATGGCGCGCGCTTATATTCATCCAGTCACGCCTTATTTATACGGCACCGTCCGGGCCCCCTTGCTTCTTCCCTTTGTCCGTGTGTCACGAAGTAAACGCTGCCCAAATGCCACAACTCCCTATCGTCGGTTCGCCCGGAACGTGACGAAGCTCATGCAGACGCTGCTTGCAAGTTTAGGTCGCCACCTTATCTGGCGGGCAGCCTTGGTTCACCTCATGACGCTGCTGGGCCGGAGGGCTTCAGATGACACTGACGCGGTAAGAGGTTTGCTACGAACTAGACAAGCTTCATTCTAATTGAACAAGCCAGTTTCGGCTAGGCTCATTATTTCTCACACTGCCTTCGCACAAGCGCCAATATATCTTTCTTGAACGTGAGGGCGTTCCAATAGCCAGGAAACAGCAACCTTACGGGGGTGCTCCTGGTATTGGCGGAGTAGCGCAGCTTGACTGCAGAAATCAGACCACAGCGAGGTGGCCTGCTCCAACAATATAAAGCCGCCGCTAGAGAGAGTCAATAGCATTGTGGTCGGGAGTAATGCCTTGAGGCACGCCATGAAGTGCCCCAAGCCGTGCACATCCGTGTTACTCTAGGGCTATAGGTATATTTGGTGTTTCTTTTTTTTGCGTGTTTGCATGCAAATCTTCTTGACGATTTTTGCTTTATTTTACATACATAATTTGCTTTTCTGACATTTGTACCCTTCTTTTGTCGATGTTTATTGTATGCCACCCCTTATGTAATACCCCCTATGGGGGTCGTTAAGGTATATAAATAAATAAATAAACTCCGTTTTCTACTACATCAAAGCTGTTTATGGCAAGGGTTCTAATGTTTTTTCATGTGCGTCAACAAAGCCTCGCAACGCCCTCTTTCTGTCGTCCTTCCAAGCACTTGCGTGCCTATTTTCCTTCGCTCTCCCGGGGTGGTGGTCCCATCGCAGGTGTCTACTTTCCGACGGGCGGCGGTCCCGTCGCGTGTCTAGTTTTTTCCGCCTTCTCGGGGCAGCGATAGCTCGTACCTTTGTTGAGAATTCTGTGTCACGTCCGTGTCGCGTACTTAACAGCTTCGCTGGTCATCCACCTTCACAAATTGGAATGACTCATCATTTTTAAATTATGCCCATGCCAACATTACGATCTGATGAAGCCAATCAAAACGCGCCAAAAGTGTATCGTCATGGCGCTCGTTCTCTCTTTGCGTTTTTTTATACCGGATGAACCTGGTATGCACGGGTAATGCTGCGTGACCCTCCGCTCTTTGTTCATGATTGGCTTAGGAATTCGTAGCGAAAACTGAAAAACTACGAGAGCCATGACGAAACACTTTCGGATCTCATTGATTCGCTCATCATCTCGTAGTGCTGGCTGCGGTTGTATACTTAAAGTGAAGCTGAGTATAAGCATCGTGTTTGCATAACATACAATGTAGGCTCCGTTAAAATCTAGGCTCCATGCGCTTCCGCTTGCTTCGAGATGTAGCCTTTCCCCAGAGGTCATTAACACGAAGCAGGGATCGGCAAAATACATGCAAATATGTATCGAAATACAGATACAAAATGCTTCGTCAAAATGTATCTAATTACGAATCTAATTACATTTACAAAAAAGCATTTAAGTACAAGATACAAATACAACCAAATGTATTTGATTTCCTATAAATACCTTTCCAAATACATTCCTCAAAATTTGCGTGTGTGAGTTCAATGCACCTGCAACGAGTTTCTGGGCATCTCATTTTAACTTTGCATCGCAAACTCGGGAGTTAGTGTGCGAGGCTCTAGCAACGTAATAGGCATATAATCACAAAAAAAATGTAATCAGCTTGGACGTAATAAGCGAAAAAAGTACAGAGCTTCAAGCAGCTTTTTTTGTCGATTACATTTTGGTATACACGTTTGAAAATCCGGCTCTGTCCAGAGCAGGAAGAAAACTACGTTCTGCACCGAATGCAGTTTCTCTCAATCAAGCACAAGCGTTTAGTGACCTTGTGATTACGGTGCTAGTCCAGGGCAAGAATAGTGACGTTAAATCGACGTTCACAGGCACACTGGCTAACTAAGTGCCTGTGACAACTTGTGATGCTTTCCAGCCTGATTTCCATGCATATTTTGCCTGGAACATTCTAAATGCGCGGGTCGTCCAGATTTTCGTAACTGGTGCGAGTTGCAACAATAAAAATTCACTAGCTAGTATATTGAGGTATTTAGCGCACAAGGTAGAGAGGAGAAGGAGAGGACAGAAAAGAGCGCTACTCACAGCTACATTTACTGACAAGAATGGAAGAGAAAGAAAAAAAACACAAATAATCCGCCGCGGACTCGTGCATCTACCACAGCCCCGTGAATGATAGCGGTTAGTTCAATCAGGCTCGTGTGGGCCCTTCATTCTTTGTTCAAGGAATTCCCTTTCCTTGTTTGATAGCGTTACGGATTCAACGCTAATACAGTTCCTGTCCTCACGAAGGATGTAGAAGGCCTCCAATACCTCGCGGGTCAATTTGTCTTTGTTCTTCCCCAAGATGTTGGTCTCACAGAATAATGTTCTGCACGTGCATTCCCTGCAACGGGGATGAAGATTTTCGCCCACTGTAGCCTTTAAGGAGTAGTCATGCTCCCGGAGTCGGTCGTCGAGGGATCTGCCCGTTTGGCCTATGTAGCTCTTGCCACACGAGCTAGTGCTGCGCGTCTTCGTCGCTAGTGCTGCGCGTCTTGGTCGTCTCGCTTCTTTGTTGGTCTATGCCAAAATGTAATCGACAAAAAAAAGCTGCTTGAAGCTCTGTACCTTTTTCACATATTACGTCCAAGCTTATTACATTTTTGGGGGGGATTATATTTCTATTGCGCTACTAGAGCCTCCCACACTAACTCCCGAGTGTGCGATGCAAAATTAAAATGAGATACCCTGAAACCCGTTGCAGGTGCCCTAAAGTCGCTGGCGCAAATTTTGAGAAATGTATTTGGAAAAGTATTTGGAGGAGACCGAATACATTTGGTTGCATTTGTATCTTGTACTTAAATGCTTTTTTGGAAATGTAATTAAATTTGTGATTAAATACATTTTTGACGAAGTATTTTGTATTGGTATTTCGATACATGTTTGCATGTATTTTGCCCATCCCTGTTAAATACTCACGTCAAATACATTACCCAATTTGCAATTAAATACATATGCAAAATAACAAAATATTTGAAATTCGTATTTCAAATACTTGTATTTGAGATACTGCCCAGCAATGACACGAAGCTAGTGCACGTTAACGTAAGCAAACAGAATCGTTGAATATGGTTGGAGCAGCCACAAAGTTGTTCTTGTTATATGAAAGCGTCATATGGCTTGAAAAACCCCGGTTCCCTAAGAATGCGGGAGGCGAGAGTGACATAGATCTACCAAAGAAAACAACCTAGTATTTTGCTTTAATATGATTGGGTGGCCTCACTATAAAACATGCTTATTTTATGAGGCTTTCAAAATACTGCTCTCTCTCTCTCTCTAGAGTCAGCTGTCGGGGTTCAGTTTATGTGACTGACTTGTTTCCCGATGACACCCATATGCGTTTCTGAATGTGGGTGGCCGGAGCGCCATGCGTGACTACTTGTAGAAAGCTTCTGTCGGCGCGTATATATTTGGATTGCTTTAGATGGGTCTTCTGTTCGGCTCAGAATGAGCTAAAAGATCATTGAGTTTTACCATAAAGTTTTCACCTTCTAATACTGATGTCTGCGCTGATGCGTGTTAACCCTACACTCGGTGACAGGTGAAGAGTTCAGGGAAAGGTTCTCCGCGCTGTTTTCACTTACATACATGATTCGCCATTCATGATAGTTTAACAGTGTTATGTTAGGCCATCGAAGATTACAAAAACCAAGGCAATCGAGTATAAAAAAGAATTTGTCTAGTAAAAAACTTTTTAGTTTTTTTCTTCTTTTTGAATGAACTATTTAGGTTTGGAGCAGCGTTCATCATTTATGGAGCGATAAACGCTTCTTTAATCATCGCGCTTTGGACAAACCTTTGTAGCTGAGTATAATCTTTGTACTTAATTCATGTCCGAGCATCGGATGGTACCTTTATCCAATTAGAATAAACGACTAGAAACATCAGAGCATATCACACTGCAAAACAGTCATGACACACAGACACATACCCGTCATGTTAGGTTACTTACGGTTTCCGAGTGTCGCCTATGGTGATGAGGTGTTTCAAAAACGGTAGCCTGGAAGGAGGCGGTGATAGTTACGGCGCTCAAAGACAGCCATCTTTGAGGTTCCACGTAAATATTGAACTAATATATATCGAATTATCAAATCGTCACCTTTTGCTGTTCAGCTCTCCCGGAGACGAATTCTCTAGTTCCGGTGCAATTTGAAGCAGCATCTGGTAGTAATCTTTAGTAGTAAATTTGTCCCCAATGATCAGAGCCGGACACTCTGCCTGAAATTAATGGGCTTTCTTTTACATAAAGATGACACCAAGCGACGGAGACTGGAAATGGGAAGGGCGTCCTGAAAGTGTATTGCGCTGGCTCAGTTGCGTCATCTGGGACTCATCTGAGTCGCTGAGGAAGCAGGAGAGGTTGCCCCACTTCCTCCCGACGCTGACAATGGTTGAAGGCTTTGTTCCTGCGTAAGGCTTCCGCATGCTCAAAGTTATTTTTGAAAAAAAGATCCACCGGGACTGAATTGGTAACCTGCTTTCTGTTATGGCCAAGTAGGAGTAAACAAAAATGCTGGCATAGCAAAAGCTTGCTAAGAAAGTAGACGAAAAAAACAAAAACTGAATTGTAGACATCGGTACCCATGGTCATCTTTTTGTTAAAATATACATTGGGCAACTGCGTTCGAACACATAATACTACCCGATTAAATATTGCCAAACTGAAGTTCTCATTGGCTAGAAAAACGAGCACTCGTAGCATAAAGTTTAGGGTACCATGAAGCTCATGTTGCAGTTATGAGCTTATTGTCTGAGATATCAAACTAATGTACGACTACGACAAGAACCAGCTTCGCATGCACCGTTGCGCTATTAGCCAATTACCCTGCAGCCGGGGAACTATCGTGGACGAAGAATGGCGCCGCACCGGTCGTGTTTGAGACTACGCCCGCTAGGGGCGCTGTGTCGAGGATACATGCCGAATAGATGATGGCAAAAAACGATTTGACACGAGAGGCATCCAAGCACAGTGGAATGACAAACTCATACTCTGCATATCACCACCTCACTGGACAGCTCCTGTTGTCCTGCCCATTTCCATTCGGGTAAACATTGTTTCAGCCTGTGCACCAGTGTTGCGGAATGGGCACCCCCATTCCGTTCCAATTCCATTCCGGGGAATTAGAGTTTTCGATAATTCAATTCCTTTCAACTCCTCGGAATGGGGACACTGGGCCCATTCCCACTCCTGGAATGGCTGAATTGTTCCATTCCATTCCTTTAATTCCTAAACGTAAAAATTGGCACTTGCCACCTACATTGTGTTGCCGCCATAAGCAGCATAAAGCGGACAATATCAAATGCAGAGACAATTGCAAAAAAAATGCTAAATTCCTAAAAAAAGTACTCATTTTACTAAGCCGACCGCTGGTGGCACAAAGTGTTTATTTACAATGTACTGCAAACATCGAAAAAGCCCCTTGATATGTCGATGTTTGTTTAAGAAATCGGTCTCGTGACCACGTGACTCGCAACAAACAGCAACACTTAAATCCACTCATTTTCTTTTCTTTTTTTTTTACTTTTTGCACTTGACTTTTAGGATATACGCGGCCAGCGTGTTTGTTTGATAAGACCATAAAAATATCTAGTTCGTGCGTGGTGCAGGAATAAGCTATATTACTGTATTCTTCAAATACAGCAACACGGCTAGTACACTGCAGGAAGCGACTCCATGCACAGCGGCACGAACACATCCTCTGACAAAATGCGACCTCTGCGGCGCAGCACGAGGCACCGTATAAAAGATGTCACGAAACCTGTTTTAAAACGCATAAGATCACGCTTGCTTTACGAATCTCGATATTTGTTATCATATTCAATTCAATTTTTGGCTGGTTCGCCTGCCCTTCTCCACCCTTCGCATACTCATTTTCCTGTTTCCTCTTCAGATGGCGAATAAAGTTCGATGATACACGTCGACTGCACCGTGTATAGTTTCGTATCGTTGCACAACTTTCAGCGTGCAGCTTGTTTACTTTATTCGCGACTAATGTCGAAAAATGTCTTCCACGATGCCATGACTCGATCTGTATTTAACTTGTCTTCTCGTCCGAACTGTGATGTTCCTCTTCGCGCTGATCGAGTGGCGGGTTCAGGTAGCAGACGGTACCAACCGAATCATTATTCTACCTCGGTGTCGGTTGTTCGCGTTGTGGCGACGGGTCGGGCAGTCAGCGTTGACAAAGCTCTTCACATCAAGATACAATAACGGGGTAATACCGCACCATTCGAATTGACATTCCCCGTGTTTCCTAAACAACACCGTCCAACTGACTTCTCACCGCCTCAAACAGGGTCCAGGACAAGGAGCACGAATGCAGACCGGACAGCCGAGACGCACGGAAGCCAAAACATCAGTGGCAGTTAGCACACAGCACTCCTTCTCAGTTGCCCTCACAGCAACGGTCGCACCTCGTCTGGAGCGGGACGATCTTTCTGCAGGTCTAGTCAGTTCGGTCACACCAAGAGCGGTGACTATAGTCTACTTCACCTTACGATGGACCTCAACAGACAGCACGAGAGTTATCGAAACCAATCCAGTGCCTTCTGAATGTCGCGTGACCCTGCAGTCCCGCTCACGGTGCTGGATTGCCTAGGGTGACTTGTAGCGTCCGCAGCGGTCCATCGCAAGGTAAAACGAAGCATGCAGAGACTAAAGTCAAAGGAAATCATCGAGAATCCGCTGGCTTGCTTGTAACCCCAACCCACTAAAAGATATTAAAAAAAACAAGCATCGGAACAAAGACCAAGTAAAAGGCGGACTTAGACTACAAATGCAGTATAAAAAAGCACTTCCAAGGAGTGCGCGCGAATGAACGTGGAAGGCAGCAGGACCGGCAGGACTGGCTGCCTGCTAAACAACGCTCCTCGAACTATAAGAAAACAATACCTGATCATCTTTCGGCGGCGCCCGATTCAACGAGTTATCGGAGCTCTGCGAGTTATGAGTCGCTTCCGCTCCCAGATCTTAGACTGTGCGCGCGCGTGCATTCTACAAACCGTCGCAGCATCAACAAAAAAAGCATGACAAGAAGGACGATGAGGAGTCGTGCATGGCGGTTTCTTTCTTTGCCGCTCCCATTTCTTTTGCTTGGCGCTTGGTTTCTTGTTTCGCTCTCGTGTAACGCCATCGAAGCCAGACGCCTGCGCGTCCGTGAAAGGCGCCACGTTACCCCCCTTTCCCCCTTTGCTCTTTCGCTTGACGCTCGTTTTCTGAATTGCATATGTTTTTATAAGTCTGTTGGGGTTCCACGCGGGCTAGCAGTTTCCCGTTCATTTTATTTCTGAGCAACTGACTCGCTGACTGGCCCAATTAAGCTGACTGTAAACACACAAAAAAAAAAAGAAAAAAAGAAAAAAAGAACCGTGCCCATTCCATTCGCATTCCATTCCGAGCAAAAGACACCTATTTACATTCCCATTTCATTCCCCTACACTTTGCCGCCATTCCATTCCCATTCCATTCCGGGGTCGTGAAAATGCGGAATGATTCCGGAATCATACCAACTCCGGAGTGGCAACTCCGCAACACTGCTGTGCACATAATGGTAATTTATTGTTACATTTAGGATGACCCTTCATCGAAATTATGCAGAAATACGTAAATTACCCTCCATGCTATTCGCCTATTTGTCACACCTTGTATAATAATATTTATAAGTTTCGTGTTAAGGTTGGAACTTGAACTGCATGTTGATTCTGTTGTTTTTTTGTTCAGCGCAAATGTCAATGCAGGAACTCGTGGCTTTGTCAAGCTGCCCTTGCTAGAACTTTTTTTCCGTACGCCTCCAGAATTTTGTAGTGAGCACCTAATTCGAAAAAACACTAAAAAAATAGTACATCTTGTCCAGCCGAAGGTGCTTGTTGGCAGGGAGGTCAACGTGAAAGTATTTTGTTACTGCACTTCCGGGGCGCAGAAAACTATCAAAACAGGCCATTATTATGATCACACTCGGCTCCATAAATCGATGGCGTGACTTGGGAAAGTAGCAACGTCAAACATATTAAATAAATCGTTACCCACCGCATTCAATCAGTATGACGTATACCTGACGTTACCGCCAGCTGCGAAAGACAGCTGCCACGTTTGCCGAAGCATCGCGCGATCTAGCGTTACTTTGAAACAAGTCCAAGAATGACGTCACCAGCCATATAAGGACAAGAGAGTACAACGCTCTCGAACGGCTTATTCCTTAATACCAGGCAAAGCCGGTACGGCCTGACCATGCCAGCGACCGGTGCAAGGCTAACCTACACAATGTTTAATCCCTACGAGAAACCGCCACCCTGGCGAACTGGCAGTGGCGGTATCACATGGTGAAATCCTGACAAGCCAATAGAATCAAGATCCAAATCCACTACACACTCCCCTAATCTCGATCATTCTGAAAATTCCGGAAAATGTATGTGTGCGTCAGGCGTTCAATGCATCTGCAACCCCCTGAAGCTCTCCGTAATTGAACACACAAAATCATAAAGCACGCATAATCAACTGATGACGCATTCTGTGGTCCCCGAGTTGATCAGAATGAGACATGCTTTCTTTACTCACGCTGAATTCCACATACGAACGCGCAAGCGCTCGCATTGGTCGGTTACGGCGACTGGCTGCTCGGCGCATTTACGGCGACGCTCCGCATTTTTGGTGAAAGCGTACCTTGCTATGCAGGAGATCGGCTGTACTTGTGTTTTCCAATAAATTAATCCAACATTTTTAGGGTTTCCTCTCCGGTTACGCAATTTATTGCCTGCTATGGCAAATTGCGATGTCATACGCACGCTGCACTATCTGTGTCTGTGCCACGATGCGCCTCACGAGGTCCTAAGATATCTATGTGGGGCGACCTGCGCTGAGTTATTGGCAAGCCACCTGCTGCTACAGGAGGATCTTGTGATCTTGGGCTTCGGATCAAAAGGTCCGGCTTCCATTGCCGCTCAGCAGGTCATAATTTTTTTCTAATTAATCGAGGATTGAATAAGACACAATTATTCCACACTACAGTTCGCCCTGTATTTTTATGCATAGCCTGATTGGGCTATGTGTGATTTCTATTGAGTTGACTTGCGTAAAAAGCTTTCTTTACTGCCCTCAAGACTAACGCTTTTCGTGTGAATTCTGTCTCTTAATTACGTTCTGTGTTCAAACCCATTGTCAATCGAGCGAAAAAAGAGCACAGCTTTCACCCTCCCCCATTTATGCCAGCATAATTGTACCAAGATTAGCTGATAGGCATGTGGTGCCGTATTTCTACACAACGCCCTACTTTACGGTTCCATAAAATTGATCAGAAAAGTTATGAAAATATATTTACGTTCGCATTTACGTGGCTGCTTTGTACTACATTGGTTTCGCCAATCCAGGTTGTCGCGGTAAACAAGTATGAAAACAAAATGTTTTTGATTATAAGATAACTTACCATATTCAGGCAAAACTCAAGTTCAGTAACCGAACAAGTTAAGTTGATGCCAACCTGGACAAAAAAAGAAAAAAACGGGAGCCAGGATTACTAACGACGGCCTGCCTCTATGCGGCAAGCATATGTAGCGTAATAACTCAGTCGCATTCACCATAACAAGTCCCGCCTTGGGTGCTGCATAAAGAAGCTGTGCCCCTTCGTAGAGCCTTGGAGCGAGTATGGCAACCCTGGAACCCACAGGAAGTTTGAGAGACACCAAGCCTGCAGCTAGTTGGTCAACCTATAAGAAACGAATCCGGACACAGTTTTTAATTTTTTTTTTTTTTTTAGAAGCGACGCTATAAAGGCAAGTGACTTTAATACTAATACCCTTAAAGTTCGCGAGACCCTACTTTTCGCAGAATTCACGAATTGTTATATTTACGAACTTTATACATGGTGCAAAAATACACCTAAAAACATGGACGAAGAAAGAAGCACAAAGGACATGGCGAAACTTGCAAATGAACTTTGTCGCAGAAAACACATAAAAGAAGAATAAAACCGCACATGCGCAAAGATGATGGGCTTTCATTAACCCCTGGAAAGCCTGCCGTCGCTGTTGAGTGACCGATAAAAGCCTGCTCCTAATTGGATAAGGCGACAGAAGGAGCACGAATACACAGATTTGTGCCATGGGACCTTATCATGAATGCCTCGTGTACCTCGCGTTCCAATTTCGTTTTGAATTTTCCCATAATCTTGGTATTAGTGAACTTGGCCTGACACTCAGACCTATCACAATATATAGCCAAGTGGCCAGACGGGGATTGCCTCGTGGCGGGGGAGTGTTCTCTCTTTCTATCATTAATGCACCTTTCCGTCTGGCCAACATGAACGCTGCCGCAAGACAGGGTAACCTCGTAAGTGACCCTAAGGCACATTGCCGAAACTTGGTGGCACGACGCTTGCAGCCCTCCCCCTCCGCATCGCGTGACACACCTGCATTATTTATTCTTCGGCAAAGCTTAGAAAGCTTGTTTGGGGCAGAAAAAACTACAGGAATGCGAAACTTCTTCGCCATCTTTTTGAGATTGTGAGTCCTTATGCACATAACGCAGGAAAACAGGTCTAACTTCAGGCCTTGCCCTCTCAGCCTCCTTTCCCCCAACAAGCCTCTTCAGCTTCTTTACCATCCCTTCAGCAACATCGCATAAGACCCGGGAAAGGAAGTCCAAATCCTGCAATAGCTGCAACTAAAAAGTACAACTCATTTTGTGAGGGCAAGATATTTTCAAAAAGGCAGCCGGACAACTAGTGGCAATACCCTCCTTTACTAGCTTCGAATGGGCCGAGTCAAATGAAAGTAGCTTTTGCTTTGATCTTGGCTCATACGCCCAACACACATGGTCACTTTTAGACAAAAAGCCCAAGTCCAAAAACTGCAGGTGCTTACGGTTTCATGCGTAAAACGTAAGCCTTCCGCACAACTCTTAAAAACCAGAAGCACAACAGAGACCATATTATATTCGTTAGCCTCTACAGGATCTCTGTTTAAAACTAAAAAATCGTCAACGTACCTAAAAATCTTGAGCCTCTAATTCTTTGCCACCAACTTCTCTATTGCCCTATCATATGAAGCGTGATAAATATCACACAGTACCGGCGCCACCGTCGATCCAATGCACGACCTTTAGTCTGCGCGAATATTTCCATTTCCTGTACAAGCGAATTACAGCCTTCATAATTCGCAAAATTTAATGGTCTCGGCTAGAAAGAAGTCCGCTGCTCAATTCGCGAAAAATCAGGGCCTCGAAAATTAAGTGTTTTATAGTATAAAACAACGTGTTTCGATTTGAATGCACTCTGAATATATTTATTTTGGATTTACTTAATTACAAAATTTTATTGTGCATTATTAAGAATTATATAAATTAAACACTGCGTAGAAGGAACACTTTTTTAATAAAACAGGAGAGCCCATAATGAGAAACAAAATGACAAAATGTCATCGGCGACAAAGTTCCGTTTTTGTTAATGTGCTTGTCGATCCTTATAGCTAGGGCTCAGTGTTTTCGGAGCTTATTTTTTGTGAAATTTGGCGAGTGTTTTTTGGAGCTTGTTTTTTAGAAAAAATTCGGTGTTTATTGCAGTTTATTTCTTCGTAAATCCCCAATTCTCCAAATTCGGAAATCAATTCCGCAGTGTTTCCTATTAAGAATTATAAATAATAACCGGATGCAAACTTATGCCAGATAAAATATAAAACGCGCTTGTATCAATTAAGATCTCTTCAGTTGAAATTGGCGTTGGTGTCATTGGCAATACCAATTTGTCCCACGACAAAACTCCCACACAAGTGTGGTTCGATAAACGTCGATACCTTCAAATCAATAAACTGCCGGAGGTAGCCGCAAGGAAGCTTGTAGTCATCCCATTAACTTATCCCGCGGTCGCGCGAGGTGGAGTGGTTAAGGATGTAATAGCGAAGTTTCAACTGCCCCTCTTCCCTATTTTATACACTCTTTATGGTCCATAGCATTCACTGTTACCGACAGAAACATACTCTCTCCTTTCTTTAAATCCCAAATCCCATGGCCCAAACAGGAAACCAAAAGAGTGACTTTTGTCGTGACACGAATGGTACGATGACCTGTTTCCCTGAACCAAACTTGACGAGACAAGCCGTAAGACCCCCTTTAGATTACGCTCCGAGGCTTGAAAGATAATTCTGGCCTCACTTTCCCAGGACCATTGATCCTGCGCTGGTCAAATGAAAAAAAAATTTTTTTTTTTTTTTGCTTGGGGGGGGGGGGGGGGGGGGGGGGACGGGTAGCATGGGTACATAAGAATTCGGAGTGTATCGGATAAATTCAATTTACAAAAAATTTTACCTGTGGTGTTTTTCGGGGTTTTCTCGGATTTATCCGAAAACACGGAGCCCTACTTATAGCTTTAAACAAAATAAAAACGGTAATAACAATAACAAGATCAGTGAATAGTCTGAATAATAAAACCTTCAAGGTACCTCGTTTAGTTTCAGAATCACCAGATTTGATCCAATGTCTGCATTTCCTTTATACATAGTTGGAAACGAAAACACTTCGTCGAATGTTTAAAGGAGGGAAGCAAATTTAATTTGAATTTATGTTCAACTTAGTGTAGGGGCTGTATATCCCTACCACAGATTTTCAGTTACCTCGGCAATATGAGCGAGATTAGCGCTGAATGAATTCCAGTCTTCAGAGAACACAATTGTGCTCTAAAATGCGTCTGATGTAAAAATAGCGTTCGTTGTTGCCTCGCAATCTTTATTAATGGTCGTCTGAGTGAAGTAAAAAGAACGTAACCATGTTAAACGCCTTTGCCACTTCCTTCTCTTTTCGATTATTCTATATTAAGGTGCACTAGAAATGAACTCCCATATACTAATACTTTTTGAAATTGAGTTATTCTGAAGTACACCAATTTTTTGCGAATGAAAGCTGCCCCTGGCTTTGGTATATTCCGAAGGCGCTCTGAATTCCCAGCGTGCAAAGGTCATCTACGACGTCATGGTGGCATCCCGTTTTCCCTGTGTCGCGTGACCTCATGATCTAGCGCGACGTCAAAGCTCAACATGACATAACGTGACCATCATGAAATCTTGTGGCAGTATTACCGTACGCAACGCGACCTAGTGACATTAGGTAAGGTCAGGTGAAGTCGGTTTCACATAACGTCACGTTCTAAAGTAACGGTACGGTATCACGTCGGTGGCATCCCTCCCACGTCATGGTATAAAAACACGTCACGGTCTCCCGTAATGTTACGTCCCTTGACGGTACGGCGCCACATCATTGTATCACCTGATTTTATGGTGTCGCGTCAAGGAACTGCGTCAAGGGGGTCATGGTATCATACGACGTCACAGTCACATCAAGTCACGTTTTCGCGTGACATCATAACTGCACGTCACATCACGGTGCCATGTGGCGTCATAGCGTCCCGTAATGTCTTGGTGGAATCTCATAGCGTCTGTCACGTCAGTGTTATGTGGCGCCATGCTGTAATGCGATGTCACAGCAGCACGTAAAAAACGACAATCTGGCAGTGCACTCTCTTGGGGCTCCCGGATGACATTCTTATCATACGCGGATTCACACCCTGCTGCACGGGTGGTAACTTAATGATTCACCGAGCTTTGAGCATGCTTAAAATCGTTTCAAAATGACAGATTTAGTGGTTTTGTGTGGCGGTCAGCAAGCTTATAATTAGAACTACATATTCATTTGCAATATTTCAAGAGGTAGTGAACTCAATTGTGTTTTCGATTATTAAGACGATGAGCCCCTCATATATGTCCCCCTGGCCATCGCATATCGATTGCACACACCTCAGCAATGCGCCTCTAAATGTGGTCATTTTCAATTAATTTGTTCGCATAAAAATCAAACACTATGTATAGCTAAATATGGGTTCCTTTCAACCTTTCTTGGTAGATAAAATATTACGAGGTATTTATTTGCAATGTCCATACTTCTGTTACGGCTAGCTCCTACCTATCCATGGCTCGCTGACGTTCCAGTTGGAAGGCTCCTTCACGCTCCTATGAGGATATAGCTATCTAACAATGCATCCAACTAATAATTTATTGGGATTGGTAACCAATGGTGCACAATACGCACAATCACATACGGATATGTTCCTCTCATTCCCATGTTAGTCCTGGAACCAGTGCAAGCACAAACGTGAAATCCACGTGATGTTCTTTCGGGTGTTGTTGTGACCGTTGCGGTGCCCCATATACGGGATCGGGTTGCTAAAGTTGCTGAGGTAAATTCTGTCATATGCAACGGATGTGTGATGGAACTTGGTGATTTTTGTTTCTTAACGAACAGCGCTCTACATTCGAAATCAGCAGAGTTATTTTTTCCCCTCATTTAAAGGGGAATTATGACGTCACGACACTTAATTTTCTGACTGCAGGCAATACGATAATGTCTCGAACACAATGCCGTCACATGAAACTGTGACGCCACAAGACACCATGACATCACGCAATAAGGTGCCCTCTTGCCTTGAGACCAGCCCGAGCAAAATAGATTCGCGAAAGATTTCCATATTACGCAATTGCTTTGAGACCTGCTTTTAGGCTAGCAGTTATTCCGTATTTACAATCCTCTCCTATCATCAGGAAGGCTCTTAATCTTCACGAGGCTGCTGTGGTCGTTTGACCCCTTTAAAACTACCCCATATCGGCTATTTTACAGATTGCACCGGGCGAAATGATGTGGTGTGCGGGGAAACACCAAGCTGCATGCGGAACTGGAGTGTTTTTCCAAATTTTTATACATGTAAAAACGTATCTAGAGTAGGCGGGAAATCGTCTCGACATGTTTGCCATAAGGCATGTTTTTTTGTTTTTTTTTTCAAGCGGCACTTTGGAGCACTCTGTAATCCATTGTCAATCACCCGAATGAAATCCTGCTTTATTGTTTTATGAATTTTCTGACGACACAATTAAAATTATGCTATTTGATTAAACGCTTGCATCTAGTCCCATCGAAGTGTCTGTGAGCCCGAAATCCTGATATTAAAATCGGAAATTTTTATTTTATGGGAAAATATGGCAGGGTGTGTATGGCATTAATTTTGCTGCTTGGGGGATCGGGTGGCCATTCTCATGGGATACCGTCTCTAACAAATTCTTTTTGTGCTTCAATTTGTTGCGCTCATTTTCATGTTGCCTTCGAAATAAAACTCAGTTCATTGTTTGCGCTTATTGTTTCTATTTTTAGCATCATGCTTCTGATTTTTCCAATGCGTCAGCCACCGTAACGTTACTTTATTGCTATTGTTCTTGAATATTACTTCTCCCTTCTAAAAAAATGCCGGCGCTTTCTTGCAACAAATTCGAGGTATGCACCAACATGTCGCCAGTTTTGAAAACCCGCATTCTGGAGCTCAGCTCGAAGTACCAGAATGAGGTTATTCATGGCGGCTCTTACTAGGTGTACAATTGCCGTTGTGATAGTTAACGACGACACTAGGGATATTTTTGTCTCTTTGGCAAGAACATGGTAATTAATATTTATTTCCGAGGAATGAGTCTCAAGAAAAGTACCTGATCTGAATATAAGCTTACGTCTTTTCCGTATTCCGTGTATGTCTTGCTGATGTTCTGGTGAGTGTATACCATCGCTGTGGTATCCCCGAAGACGTCGGTGGCTCTGTCAATGACGTCTCCAACAGTCCAGGTCAGAAGCGGCTCCTTTCCGGGCTTGTGGAAGTAGCTGAGTTTGGAGACATCCCTGTCTCGGCATGCAGAGAAAAATATTTTCTCTTCACACAAGTGCACGAAAAGATATTGATATTTGTGCAATGTTGAAAAACAAAAGTTGCTCCAACTAATTTTTCTTTGTTGTTTTAGTTCTCCAAATATTCAATATGTGTTATTACTGCTTTCTGGCTGCACAATAAGTGTATTCTCTTTTGGGGCTAAAGGGCTTGAGATAAATAATTAAAATATAAGCAGGGCCGCCTAAAAACATAATATATTTGATATTCCTGCTATCAAAACATTCCGTCAGGTACCAGCGTAGGATCGGCGAAACTCTCCAGAAATATGCTCAGTGCGACGCTTCTAATGAGTAGTAAAATCAAACCCACGTTTACAAATAAAAAAAATACCGTATTGATAATTACAGAACTCACTAAAGTGTCTTAATAAATCGCGGAATTGTATAGTTTGCGTATTTATGTTAATGTTACACCTCTTTACGGCCCAATGACAGGATCGTTTCTTTTCTTTTTTTTAAGAATTCTTTTGATTTTCCGTGATATTCGTTTCAGAGTTTTCCACACAATTCGGCTAACTACACATAAAAAAAAAGATCACTGAAAGAGCCCTGTCTAATGTGACGCAAATGACCGAGCATTAAATTACGTATGCCAAAGGGGCGGATCTGACAGCAGTTCATTGCTCCTGTTGCACAAACATTTCTTCGCCAGCCGAGAGAAAGACAGGGAGCGTCAAGTAAGTCTACAATGCTGTAAACTGACTATCGATCAATTCCATAAACAAGCGGAGGCCGAGAAACCTGAACATCAATGATTTCATAATTTCCTGAGAACTGGATCATGTGCACTGAATGCCTTCTAAGTTCCGAGAAAAGGGTCAATTGAGAGGCCGCAAAGTCGATAGATCTAGCAGCACACATTTCAATTGGAAGTATGAAACATAAAGATTCTTACGTTTTCTCCTGTGCTTCACTACGAAGGCGAACCAAGCCGTCAACTGGAACGGCTAAACCATCTAAGGTGACCGCTGTCCCTCGTAAGAAGCGTCGTTTGACACTTTTTGTAACTAGGCTAGATCCGGATACGAGCGTGGACGATGTTCTAGCACTTATCGAACCTCTTGTAGCGGGGAGGCAGGTCCTGTGTTCAAAAATGTTTACACGATATGACACATACTCTTCGTTCCACATCTCGGGTGACGAGTCAGTTTTCGACGCAATTAACAAATCCGAGGTGTGGCCTGGAGGTAACATTTTCCATCAGTTCTTTGGCCGACTGGACAAGTCTTGTGTTCATACTGATGACGGAGTAGAAACCGCTCATGACGCACAAACTTAGCGTGTTTTACCAAAAAATACGAGGCCTGAGGACTAAGGCCGACGAGTTTTTGTACAATTCAACTAATTTAACTCATGATATTATATGAATTTCCGAAACCTGGCTTTGTGATGGTATATCAGTCTCTAATTACTTCAACTCCAGCTACATGATCTATCGAATGGATAGAGACTACTTGTCTACGGGGCAAACGATGGGAGGGGCGTGTTAATTGCAACTAAAGTTTCCGTGGCATCGCATAGGCAGTTTGATCTCGAAACTTATTCAGAATGTGTTTGGATCGAGATTAAGGCAAGTGACGGATTTAATTAGCTGATAGGAACGTACTATTTTTCCCCGTTATCTGATGAAACCACTTTCATTGAACATTTTGAATCTCTTGGAAAGGAAATTGATTTTGAAAAGTTTAGTTTTCAGATACAGGGAGATTTTAATTTTCCGGGTGTAGAGTGGTTCTTGCGAGCTTTAAACAATATTATGTTAACAGCTAGAAAGGCCTTTTCTTTGTTGTCTTTTATTTACTTGAGTGGTCTAGAACAACTAAATTCAATACCGAATTGCGCAGGTAATATCTTAGATCTCGTTCTTTCAAATCTCCACATTCTAAGCTTAAGTATGGCTTCCGATCCTTTGGTACAAGTTGATAAGTTTCGTCCACCTTTAAGTGTCCAGTTATTTTTCTCCGTGGAAGTCGCGGATATCGTCAAAGCCATTGGCTTACTTTTTTTTAAAAAGGAGATTACCTTGGCTTGTATAAATATATTGAAACTTTCGACTGGTCTAACGTTCTCGCCATGTCTGATGTCGATCGTGCTACCGAGACTCCAACAACAATTGTAAAAGATGCCATCGACACTTTTGTACCCAATCCTTCAACAAAGCCATCCATATATCCTAATTTTTTTCCAGGGATTTAAAATGTTATTTGGTAAAGGAAGAACATTTCCACCGTCTTTATAAAAGAAATGCGGCTCTTTACATATGTACACCAAATTCAGTTTATATCGGGCCTTGGCGAAGAAACTGTTCAAGCGCGATAAACGTATGCATCTTGACACTGTAGAAAATAGCTTGTTTCGCAGCCCGAAGACTCTGGAAGTTAACGAAGCAACATACACGGGACGTTAGTCCTATCATCTGCTTACGTGCTTGTTCAGATAACGCCCCGAGTTATGCTTCATCACCTCATAAAGTTGCAGATATTTTCGTTGAATATTTTGCCTAATGTTTCTCTGACAATCAGCAATCAGTTCAACAGGAGGATAAGGAGCTGATTCGTCACGATTTTTTTACTTCCATAAGAGTGGACTCTCCTGATATTGCCGAGGCGATAAGAAAGTTAAAACCCAAGTTTTCTTCCGGCGTGGATGGTGTACCAGGCTTTGTTATCAAAGGTTGCGGTCAGTTGTTCATTCCTATTTTGAAACACATTTTTAATATGTCACTCAGATCAGGCGTTTTCCCTTCGCTCTGAAAAAAAATGTTGTTGTTCCTACCTTAAATGATGGTGGCGAATCTATAGTTGCGAACTACAGTCCAGTTTTCCTGCTTTGTGGTTTTTCCAAGGTTTTTGAGATTGTTGTGCATAGCAAATTGACTTTTTATTTCCGTCAAAACTTAACGCCCTGGCAGCGCGGTTTTTTAAGACGTAGGTCTGTGGAAACAAATTTGTGTACCTCTTTCAGATTACTGTGTGCCGTTTGTTTTAAATAGAGAACAAGTAGATGCAACATACTTTAATTTGTAAAAAGCCTTCGATAAAGTGAGTCACCTGTTGCTTTAGTCCAAGTTACATCTGTATGGTGTCTGTCCAGAATTGTGTAACTGGTTTAAGAGTTATTTGTCTTTTCGATCAAATAGTGTTCGGGTCGCTCACAGTTATTCCAAATAGTTTTTTTTCACAATCAGGCGTACGCCAAGGATGAATATTGGGTCCTCTACTGTTTACAATTTTTATAAATGATATTGCGTCTTGTGTAAAGAACGTTGAACTGCTTTTATTTACCGATGACATCAAGTTGTGCAAGAGTGTTCACTTTTTTTTTTTTAGATTGTGATCTGATACAACATGATGTGTCTTATATAGCACAGTAGTGTAAACAAAATCAGTTATTTCTTAATCTTTTAAAAACAAAAGTGATACCTTTGTGTAGATACCGTGCGATCACAAATAACACTTATCATCTTGAGTGTAATCCAATTGAACGAGTGTCAATTGTCAGGGATCTTGGGGTGTTCATTGACTGAGGATTAACTTTAAAAAGTCATGTATCTTTTTTTGTCAGCTCTCCAATGAAAGTTCTAGGAGTTATATCGCGTTTGACCAAGTATTTTAAAAAGCCCCATTGTTCAATACATCTTTTTCATTCCTTAGTGGTTTCAAGGCTTGAGTTTTCTTATGTGATTTCGAATTCAATATCTGTAACACAGGCTTTGATCATAGAACGTGTGCAAAAAAAATTTGTTTGAATTGTTTACGATAGATGGATTGGACGACGCGTGTATTATGACTATGAAGGCTTACTGACTAGATTTTCGCTGAAGCTTTTATCACACAAAAGAACAGTCCTTGACTTGGTATTCGTGCATAAGATCATTAATGGTGCCATTTATTCTTCACGGCCTATTAGTAAAATCGGTTTCCGTGTTCCTTTCCACGCGACGAGAGAGCTCACCTGTTTTGATATTTGCTCACCATGCCGTGCGTCACCTCTTCCTCGTTTACAGACATTATATAACAGCTGTATGCCAACTCAAGTTGACATCACCACACCCTTGCCTACATTTCGCTGTCAGTTGGACGAGCTTTTGGTTACTTCATAGCGCTTCAGTGTATATGCATATCTATTTCTGTTTTGATGAGTAGGATTTTTGTTTAAGAGTTTCTATTGTACGAGTTGGTGTACTTAAGAGAAGGCCGCTCGGCCGTTTTAGGGCACCCGAAAAATAAAGATTAATATTAATATTATTATTATTATTATTATTATTATCCAGAGCTGCTTTGGCACTGCCGGCGCGACATTTACACGCACTGCAATGATTCAGCCATCTGAAGCGTGTTCTGCCATGAGTTCTACTGATGGTATTACAAAATTATCAAGTTTGATATACATTTTGGTCTCTCTCACGTTCTCTCTCTCTCTCTTTCGTAAATCTGAAACAAGAAATGACTTTCTACATAATACTTGGCATCATATATTTAGCAATTAAATATTTCAACAAATATTTAATTAGTTCACTTCACGTTAGTTATGATGTGAGTAAACTCTGTCTTAATATATCAGTGTGAAGTAGAATCTTTTTGTGCGCTCTCGCCACTGCATTGAAAACAGAAATAGTGAGTATTTCTGCGCGCCCTAAATATATATATTTATTAACATTTTCATTACGTTATTTTCATGAAACCCGAAGGATGTTTCTAAGTTATTGTAAAGTTTCCAGGTCAAAATACCAAATTTCTTAATTTTTACATTTTTCGTCAAAATATAAACTTTCGAAATTATTTCGTCCGGTCCCGCCAAAACGGCCTAATTAAGGGCGATGTCGCGTCGTCCAACAACCGTTGTTTTTAACAGAAATTGACAATATCTTCAGTGTGTTTAGAGTAGACAATTGGATGATTATTTACGATAATCTTTGTATTTCTCAGTTGGTGTAAATATTGATTTAAGCAGAATCGTGTCATATGTTCTCAGTTTCGGGAC